GTCCCCATGTGCCACCCCTGCCCTCCCCGCAGGTCGCCATCCAGCTGAACGACACACACCCCGCCATGGCCATCCCTGAGCTGATGAGGATTTTTGTGGACATCGAGAAGCTGCCGTGGAACAAGGTAGGGACACTCGACCTGGGCCCTGGGTCCCCTCCGCTGGAATCCACCCTCCCACCCACCCATGGCGGAGGAACCGGGGAACCAGTTTTGTAGCTGCTGGTGGCCTGGGGAGTGATGTGGAACAGTCAGGTTGGGTTTAACTGGTACGGGCTTGGAGGATCTGGCTCAGCGATGCTGCCGGCCATGGTGGGAGGAGCACATGTGGGTGCTGGCACCCACCCAGGGGTGCGTCCACCCTCACCGCTCAGTGCTGGCTCTCCCCCTGGCAGGCCTGGGACATCACCAAGAGGACTTTCGCCTACACCAACCACACGGTGCTCCCCGAAGCCCTGGAGCGCTGGCCGGTGGACCTGGTGGAGAAGCTGCTCCCCAGACACCTGCAGATCATCTACGAGATCAACCAGAGACACCTGGATGTAAGTGCCTTGGGGTGGCACAGGAGCCCCCTCCAGAGAGGGGGACGGGGGTGGCATGCGTTGTGCTGTCGAGATTGGGGGGATGCACAAACGGATGATGGTGGGTGCGTGGCCGGGTGGTTCTGGCTGCTGTTCTGGGAGGTTGGTGTGTAGGAAAGCCCTTTCCCACCAGCAGCTTGCTGTCCTGCAGTCAGTGGCTGTTTTACAGGCTTCACCCGTTGCTCCAGACTTACCTGTTGGCCTTTTTTTTCGCTCCCTAAACACTACGTTCATCCTGGAGAAGGATGAGGTTGGGGTTGCAAGGGAGACGGTGGTTTGGCCTCCTGGTCTGGCAGCACGATGCTTTTGCCAAAACGGCCCCGCTGGCCAAGCGTGTGCCTGCAAGCCCCTCTCTGGGAGGGGTCCTTCTGTCCTGAGCCATCCATGCTGGGGAAGGGCACCCTTTGGAGGGGGTTTGCACCGTCGCTCTGGACTAAAAGCCACCGCTCTGGCTGGTGTCAAACACACTGGGGACATTGCTGTGGCCCCCTCCGTGGGAGCCATCAGGCGGGACATCCCAAAATGCTGGCACCGTTCACCACCTCTCCGGCCTCCACCGGCAGCACATCGCAACCCTCTTCCCTGACGACGTGGACCGGCTGCGGAGGATGTCCCTGATAGAGGAAGGAGGCACCAAGAGGATCAACATGGCCCATCTCTGCATCGTCGGCTCCCACGCTGTCAACGGCGTGGCGAAGATCCACTCCGAAATAGTCAAGACCCAAGTGTAAGCCCGGGGAGGGAGGCGGTGGTGGATCGCCCTCAGCTTGGACGTGGTGGTGGTGCCTGCAGCCTGAAGCTGTCCCCTCCTCATCCTCGCAGCTTCAAGGACTTTGCGGCGCTGGAGCCGGAGAAGTTTCAGAACAAGACCAACGGCATCACCCCGCGTCGCTGGCTGCTGCTCTGCAACCCGGGGCTGGCGGAGCTCATCGCGGAGGTAATGGCGTGGGGGGAGCGCGTGGCCTCCCACCCTTCCCGACCCGAGGGACGCTGCCCCCGGGGACACCGCTCTGACCTCAGCCATTGACATCTTTTAAATGGTCAAGCTGGTTGCATCTCACCCGAGTCCCCTGCTCCCGCTTTCCAAGCGCCGCTGGCTTTGGGGGGTGGGAGCAGCGCGCCCGAGGAAGGCGGCCGCCCCCATCCCACGGTCAGCGCGTGCTTGTGCTCCTGTTGCAGAAAATAGGAGAGGACTACGTGCGGGACCTGAGCCAGCTGACAAAGCTGCACGAGTTCGTGGACAATGACCTCTTCATCCGGGAGGTTGCCAAAGTGAAGCAGGTGAGGGGTGCGGGGACGCGGGCAGGGGGGAGCGCAGGTTCGGGGCTGACACGCTCCCTGCCCTCGCGCAGGAGAACAAGGTGAAGTTTGCGCAGTACCTGGAGAAGGAGTACAAAGTGAAGATCAACCCTTCCTCCATGTTTGATGTGCACGTGAAGAGGATCCACGAGTACAAGCGGCAGTTGATGAACTGCCTGCACGTCATCACCATGTACAACCGTAAGCCACCGCGCACCCCGAGGGGACAGGCTGCCCTGGGGGTGCACGAGCAATCCCTGCCCCCCCCGGGGCTGCCCCTAAAACCAGGGGGTGACACCACGCTGCTGTCTTCTCCAGGCATCCGGAGGGATCCTGCGAAGCTGTCTGTGCCGAGGACAGTGATCATTGGGGGCAAGGTAAGTCGGGTCGGGAGTTTTAGGCATTTTGGAGGAAGTCCTTGAAAATGCCCTAGGGGATTTGGGTGCAGATGTTCTCGTGGGGTTGCGTCTCCGAAGCTCTCTGGGAAGCCCTGAGGCAGCACTTGTTGGCTTCAACCCAAGCAAAGTCCTGCTGCCTGTGGTCACGCGAGCCCCAAAAAACTTGGTGGCACAACGCAGTGGATGAGGGATGGGAGCAGGGCTGAGCGGGTGCTTCCCTGGGCACGTGGGAGCTGGGTGCTCCTCACCAGCCCCCCAGGCTCACCTGTGGCTCTTCTCCTAGGCTGCCCCAGGATATCACATGGCTAAAATGATCATCAAGCTCATTAACGCTGTGGCTCAGGTGGTCAACAACGATCCTGTTGTGGGGAGCAAGCTGAAGGTCATCTTCCTGGAGAACTACAGGGTCTCACTGGCAGAGAAAGGTAGCCCACGTGGGGCACGCTGTGGGGAGGGGATGTCTGCCCTGTGGCTGTCCACCAGCCCATGGCTCCATCACTGCAAGACAGCAGATCTAACGTCATCTGGCAGGATGCAAACGCAAGGATGGTCACCGTGAGCCCCTTGCCGTCCGTGTGTTTTGTTGGCAGTGATCCCTGCTACCGACCTGTCGGAGCAAATCTCCACGGCGGGCACCGAGGCGTCGGGTACAGGGAACATGAAGTTCATGCTGAACGGGGCTCTGACCATCGGCACCATGGATGGAGCCAACGTGGAAATGGCTGAGGAGGCTGGAGAGGAAAACCTGTTCATCTTCGGCATGAGGGTGGAGGATGTCACGGAGCTGGACAGGGAAGGGTGAGGGCTGGGGATGCTGTGGGAGTGTCACCACAGGCGGCTGGGGCAGCACCATCTCATATCAACCCTTCCCTGCCAGGTACAACGCCCAGGAGTACTACGACCGGCTCCCCGAGTTGAAGCAAGCCATTGACCAGATCAAGAGCGGCTTCTTCTCCCCAGATGAGCCTGACCTCTTCAAAGACGTGGTCAACATGCTCTTCCACCACGACCGGTGAGGCTTGGGATGCCATCCATCCCCTGGGTTGGGTCTCTCCACCAAACTCCCCGTGTCTGTGCAGAGCGGCCCCCTGCACCAACCATCCACCGCTGGCTGATAAGGTCCCATTTTCTGGCCCTGATGTTGTGCACGTGGAAGAGCGATTGATGCTCCACGGGTACAAAAGGCTCTCTACGTATGGCACTTCACGCCTGCCACCTTAAAGCCTGGGGTACGTTAAGGCCAAGATGCATTTGGGTGCACAGCCCTCACCAGGTGGGAGATGCTTTTTAGGTATCTCAAGGGCTTTCCTGGCCGGAGCGCTAAGCAGCCAAGGGCCGTGGGTGTTTGTGTTGGGGAAGTGTTTTCCCGGTGAGCTGACGCAGGGTGTCCCCTCCCAGCGCACCCGTCCAGCCTGTGCCGCAGCGCTCGCAGGGCTCTGTACCAGCAGGGCTTGGGGAGGATGAACTTGTCTGAAGCTTTTGTGGTGGAGGAAGCCCCAGTGCTGGCAGCCTGAGCCCCGTGCGCTGCAGCCGCTGGCCGCTGCTGTGCTCCCACCTACGCATTTCTCTTGTCGCTGACTCCCCCTTTTTTCGCCGCTACAGGTTTAAAGTTTTTGCAGACTACGAGGCTTACGTCAAATGCCAGGAGAAGGTCAGCGAGCTGTACCTGGTGAGTGCCAGCCTGGGGACGAGGTGGGGGAGCTGGCATGGGACACCAACATCACAACATCCCATCCCGGAGAAGGGGGCTGGTGGGGCTGTGCACGTCGGTGGGTTCCTGGCAGGGAGGCTCCTGGCTGTGCTGCTGCAGGGGCTCTCTGGTTGAAAGCCGGTCTCGGGGCCAACGTGGCACCCATGGGCACGAGCCTCCGGCTGTACTGTCCCACCACTCTCCTTGTAGAACTCCAAGGCATGGACCAAGATGGTCATCAGGAACATCGCGGCAGCCGGCAAGTTCTCCAGCGACCGCACCATCAAGGAGTACGCCCGGGACATCTGGCACGTGGAGCCCTCCGACCTGAAGATCCCCCCACCCAATGAGCCCCGGGACGCGGTCGAGGACAAGACCCCCAACGGCACGGCAGCGTAGGGACACGGAGCTGCTGGGGGACGCGAGCACGCGTGCTGCAAAATTGTCTCTGCTGTCTAGTCTCTGTGTTGTTGCTGCCTTTCCTACGGACGGGGAAGGGGGGGGAATTTTTATAACGTAACTGTCGTGCGGAAAGCGAAACCATGTCACCCCGTTGCTTGCATAGGTGCTAAAAATAAAAGTGCCCTTAGAGCCCAAGGAGCTGTTTGCTGAAGCTCCGGTTAGGGACTGGGCTCGCTCGCACCAACGCTGGCACAAAAGCGCGTGTAAGGGGCGAGCTGCTGGCGAGCCCAAGGAGCTGTTTGCTGAAGCTCCGGTTAGGGACTGGGCTCGCTCGCACCAACGCTGCGTGTAAGGGGCGAGCTGCTGGCGCTCGGCCGGGGATGGGGTGGGCAGCACAGCTGGCCACAGCTGGCCGAGCCCTTGCAGGCGATGCTGAAGCAGGACTTGGGGTGCAGCTTGTGCCAGTCCCAAGGAATCAGTGCTGGGGG